CGCCGGAGACGGAAATCCGTGAGGTAAGGTGAGGTGTGCATTTTTAGGGTCGACCTTTTCTAACCCCACCCCTCCTTGTGGGAAGGCAGCATCGCTGTCATGCTGGTTGTCTGAAGGAAACACCTTACTGCTGTCACACCTCTGTACAGTCAGCAGTACGACTTCGCCTTCGGACCTTGGGTTTGTTGCTTTTAGTCTTACCGCTCTTCAACCGACCTGTCTGACATGGTAGGACCTTGAGGAACGGTTGTTCCAGCCAGTATAGCTCGGTTGCTTCATCACGATAGGCAAGCCCGACCACCACGTCAAGGTAGCAACAACGGTCGGGTTGCTGTTTACTGAATAAGTCATCCAATCAACGTTAACATTGTTTAAAGTAGGTATTTACATTAGTGTGTAAGAGACATGTGGTGTGAAACGAAGTGTTAAGAAAACAGATTGTGTGTATATTTGTATGAGAAGAAGAAATTTCATTCATTATATATTGTCTTCGGTCGGTGAATATTAGGAAGACATAATTTTTATATATGATATGAATCAAAAAAGGTCGCAGCATGCATTAAATGAAGATAAATAAACAATATAAAAGAATGATTCCAAAGAGGACCAGATTTTACAAATACATTCTTCCTTTCTAATGTCTCACATTAACTTGGCGCCCAAATACTGTGAAACTATTCGGTCAAATTTAGACAAAAGTTCTTATTTATTATAGATTTAGATCGATTAACACTGAGTAGAAGATAACATAACATCAGCTCGTTTGTGTGGGTCTCCCTACAGCCACATCTAATTTACTTTATATATCATGCTTAAGATTTTCCAGCTCATGAAGTTCCTTTGGAGTGCCAACCTTGTTTAGAGATTCTTTTCTCGACTTGAGACATTATTCCAGAATAAAAGTTATTCTTTAAAATAAATTTAAACCAGTACAAATGATTTTAAAAACGATACCGGCATAAATCAAATTATTTCAGAGTCATGTATTTGGTTAAATTGGGTTCTCTGAGCTAGATGTTTTGATTGCGAATCATTCATTGTCATTTTGAACTACATCATCAATGCAAACTTCATGAATGTGAGCGTTCAGCTGTTTGGCTATCAATAGGTGTTTAATATTATATACCGTGTTGTATAGTTACATATAGGAAGCTAGCTTCTATTTAAAGGGACTATATTCAGTGAACCATAACGAATTTATTCTCTGGAACCTCAAGTGTGTCTTATGAAGATAGGTTGGAAAAGCCGGGCCCATGTCCCTGATCACACAGAAGAAACAGTGGTGACGTGATCAAAGTCTCTAAGTTACTAAATAGTGAATTCAGGTATAACGCTACTCAAATCTTCTTGCCTTCTAGGATATCAAACTTACAGTGGCCTACAAAAATTTGAATAGCATAAAACCAAATACTTTTTAACCAACTTACCGTTAACCAGTGAATCTCTCTTCAGTAACTAGAATTAAAACAACGAAATCTAAACTATCAATGGCCTCCAAAATGAAGAGCTTTCTTTGAATTGAATGCTAAACAAGGATGAAAGTCTGAGAAAGGAACGTAATTCTAAATATCCATTTCATTGTCGGATAAATTTATCATTTGAAATCTTTGATACATGATATCCCAAGAACACTTACTTTAAGATATACTTATGAGAAAACAAAAAAAGACAATGATGAATAACACTGGGAGTACAAAACAGGTAATATGCATAGGGAGATATGTAGAAATTATTGAGTGTTATTGGTATCACGAATCGAACTAAATTAGAAAACCAATGAAAGCCAAGGAACTCTGGACAGGCCAAGTATCTATGATTCCCTCAATGAGGTGAATTCATTGAAATCAAACAAGTACACCATCAAATGGCAGCTTAGTAGTCTAGCAATTAAGCGTTCTCCACAAAACGAAGGTCCTGGGTTCAATTCCCATTGAGATCATGAATTCTCACTGATGATTTATCTTATACTACAATAAAAATACTTGTCCAATGTTTTCTGATTTTCAAAGTTTATCTAAGTTAGATGATATCAATAACGTTGAATACATGTAATTATTCATTTGTAGCTACTCAAAAAAAGACCCTGAAAAATTGATTAGTTACAAAAAAAAACTTTATAATTTAAAATGTCAAAACTGAACTCATTTAATTCAGTAGAAAAAAAACTTTTTGATTATATTATGAATTACAAACATACTTTTAATGAGAACATTTACAGATGCTAATTGACTTGATCCAAGTTCATTTTTACAAAACAACTATAGATTCCAGAGTCATATATACTTAAATTATATAATTTAATTATAAAACTTTTTGACTGTTCATTATATTCATAATTAAAGTACTGATTTATAATTTCAGTTTTTTCATTCATTCCAATTGTACGAAGCCAATGAATTGTTGGACGTGGTAGACCAGGTACTATTCAATAAATTTAAAGTTTTATAATAAGATGAATTGAGAAGAAAAAATAAAGGTAACATAACAATCTTAAATTATGTGTCCTCACTTTAAAAATTCTTAAAGATTTACTATTATTATGTACTGACAAATTTCAGTTCAATACTTTCGTCAGATTGATGGGGTTGCTATGGGTAGTCCGCTAGGACCATTATTAGCAGATGTGTTCATGGCACATGTTAAAAATTTGGTTGGTGACCGAATCGAAAACATATCACTTTATAAGAGATATATGGACGATATCTTAGTTGTTTGTGAAAGAAATGAGGATACATCAGCTTCCCTTCCTAGATATACTTCTGAGTAGACGAGAAGATGGCTCAGTCAAGCGATCCATTTCTAGAAAACCAATGTGGACAGGTCAATATCTTAGTTATTATAGTTATTGCCCTGTGCAATACAAACGTGGTTTGACAAGGTTCCTTTTCAACAGGCTTGATTGTATTTGTATAAATGACTCCATTGATGATGATGTTAAGTTGCTAAATAAAACATTAATGGAAAGTGACTATCCTTTTAAATTCATAAATAGATGGAAAGTCCATGGTACAGTGAGACCTACTGTAGCCTTGGTAGAAAAATGCCTGTCCACATCACCTTATCATTCAGAGGTGATTCAAATAGCCTTTTATTGAAACGAAGACTTAAATCGGTCATCAACAAAACGTATTGTGCAGCAAAGGTCATTATCAAAGAAAGAACAAGGTGCATACTTCATCTAAAACCTAAAAGACATCAAAACGATTGTGTCACATCCCACTGTGTTTACCAATTTAAATGTGTGTGTAGTTACACATACATAGGGAGGAGCAATCGTGATCTTAGAATTAGGATGTGTGAACACGTACCAAAAATGGTTGCAGAAACCAATACAATCAGGTGACCCAGTAAGAGCAGAGGATAAACATCCATCACCCTCTATTGCTAAACATATAATTGAAACGGTCACAAGATTGATCTAAACTCAGCTTTCGTGGTATTGTATAAAAGGTTTATTGAAACCTTAGCCATATGAAAATTCAAACCCCCTTTGTGTGTTCAAAAAGTTTGTTCTAACCTTAAACCTACCCTGGTAATGTTGACTTATCCAGAGTGAATAGGTTTCGAATTGTCTTCACATTATTATTATTACTACTCTTATTATTATCCTTATCTCCTCGTACCCTCCATTTCTAGTCTAGTTGACCTTTTATTTTTATATATAAATGCTCTTAACAAGTATATGTGTGATCAGATTGTTCGAAATAAATTGCGCTTATATATCACATAGTTCTGATAATCTTCGTCTTCTTATTACATTATCGAAAGGTAATATTGTAAATCTTTTTTACAAGTATACAAGTGTTCTACTTAAATTTCTACAAGTAAGTCTTTTGTCATTTCTGAATTGTTTTATTTTTATCATGATCGTTCATAAATAAAAAAAGTAGTTCTTTGTTGAAGACATTCAATTATTCAATAACTTTTAATAGAGAATTTTATCTTATTAAAGAAATTGTTCACATTCAGCTTATAATTTTGACGAAACGGCCGTAATCCCGTAATACTGAAGGAACTGATGTTCTCTGACAGGACTCGATACTGTGACACACGGTTTCACAGTCAGAGACGTCACCACTGAGCTATCCGAGCCGCGAATTACCTCCTGTAGGATTCAAACGTATTTACAATTGACTGATCACTAGGTGGTGATCAATGTCACGTATGTCAGGTCCTTCTAAGTGCAGATCGAATCCTATCGACCAATTCTCAGTTAGTAAAACGAGAGTATGTATATAAAACAAAAACAACAATTAGACAGAATATCTATTCTCATAGTGTTTCACCACTTAAATACAAAATAGCATCTCATGGTAGGTCTAATTTATCATACTTAAATTTGTTCTCATGAAACTTGTGAAGAAATCCTATACATTACATGCAAATCAATTAGTGGAAGTGAGTTTTCAATGTCATTTATTAATTGTTGATATTTTTGTCATTAATTCACATTAATTCTTTCATTTCTGTTGATCAGTTTCCATAATTTATAAATTAAATATTACTTTTCTTTATCAATTATCCCCTCATTTTGTTTCTCTTACATACAGACATATACAGAATTGATTAGGAATCGAAATTTCAGATAACGTCTCATATTGATATATCAATCCATAATGTAAGTTTAACTTATCTATAGATATCTCAGATATCCACAGTTACTATGTTCGTTTAAAGATGCATTAAATCTAATGATAGAGTTATATATATATATATATATATATATATATATATATATATATATATATATATATTCGATTAAAGTCTACAAAACTACTGTTAGCACACTTCTTAAACATAATTTGTTTTAATATCAAAGTGGGTATTTGTAGATATTATAGTAATTTTAATTGCTTTGGGATTGCTGAGGAATCCTAAAATAGGTCGAAACGGCCGTTCAGTGCTCTCAGGTTTTCCATGGTGATCTAGCTTCAACTGACTCATGATTTCAACTATTAAAATAATTTATTTTGTTATAATATAAGCTCAAAAAATATTACCTGAATAATTTTCTTGACATCGTAATATAATATAATCTTCACCTTTATTATTAGTCGAATATACTACAGTTAAAGTAGGTTTTCCAGGAGAGTCTGAATTTTAATAAAAATTTCAAAAGAGATTCCTATGTAAGATTTAGAGTAGATTTAAAGCATTTTTGGCAAAACAAAAATCGTGATAAGGCGAGACTATAATTTATGGACGAACCAATCAAATATAAGATCACAGGTCTTGGATTTTGGCATGAAATTCATTCATCCATTTGGCTAAACAGAGTTTTGAAATTAAAGCTGATGCCATTTCGTGATGAAAACCCTAAATCTAATTCCTCAGCTTAAGCATCAACTGTAAATAATAACTCTAATTCCTCACAGTAAATTAATAACTCTCATTTGGTCTTGGTTATTAGGTGGACACTACCAAGGTCACTCGAGCGTCGCGCAGAGGTCGTCCATAGTATATAGTTTCATTTATAACTGTTTTTTAATCAGTAGGGACAATATATTCTAAAGCTTTCTAAATCTGCTTAACAGGACCTATATCGTGAACTCTTAAGTACTAAAGAAGTCACTGGACGATAACTTTATTAACCCTACTCTATAGCAACTTGTGTGACGCAGTAAAAGAAGAAGAATAGCAATAAATGGTCTTGGGATATCCCTTTTCATTCTAACCGGATTCAACTGACTTAGTGGGCTAAACAGAAAGCTTACGAAATGCGAAGAAAACTGTCTCTTTGAATGAAATATTGAGTAACTAACACTAATAATATATTAATAGTTAGGGTATACGCATATCATACACAATTTTTCGAGGAAACAGAAGGTCACAGCGGCTCTTATAATTCCTCTTTTTAAAGATTGCTGTGTTATTATTTATATAATCATTTCGAGTCATCGAGAAATTACAGGCAGTGATATAACTAACGAAATTCTTGACTCACAGTTTATGGTTAAATTAACTGCTGCAAATGATCTAGATCTTTGTTGCCAAATAGACCATACTTCACTGGAAGTTGATAAATTTTGAGATAACCATAGATCTTGTGGCATATAAATCTCAGCGTCTGCATGACAATAATATTGTCCTGAATGATATGGATATGTATAAGGAATTTTCAAGACGGAACCATCTATTCGCTTAGATTGAAACCAATGTAAATTTGGTTGATCACGTATATTCGTTTGATCAGGAAATTTATTATAAGTCCAGTATATTGATGAAGCAACTGGATTTGCATCAACACGACAAGCTATTTCTAATGCTTCACCTTCATTGACAGTTACTTTTGGCTGAACATGAACAGTAGGAGGATCTAATGGACATAAATAAAAAGTGTCAAAAAATTAATCTGAATTTTAAGACAAAACAAAGTATTTCCCTACATTCTACATCAGTATGATAGGTAGTTCGGTGTCTTGGAAAAAACCTTAGATACATAGTCAAATTGTAGTGTAGGAGAACACAGGTGAAGGCAACTGATTTATGAATTAGGACATTGCAGAGTTACTTGGTGAAATGGAAAAACCATACTATAATACCCAATTTGCAAAATGTTCAGTAATTGTCTCGGATTTCATTGTTCTTGCATTTCTATACCAATTGCCTTCTATTCCCGTTCCTCCTTTTTTGATCTTCACAATTTTCTGATGCCAGACATTACATTCTTGACTCGCGTTATATACTACTTGTGTCAGTATAAGTAGCACGCACCACAAAATCACAGAATTGGATTTCGGTTGAAATTAAATTAAAATACTCTTAATATGCAAAATCTCAACTAAGTCTGTATGTACCATTCAAGGTGGTAATTCGCTAAATAATTTGAAATTATTTCTAAAAATGTACATTTACTGAAATCAGTCGTTTTCCTAAAACAACTAATTGGAAATATTAATATCTTGTGTAAGTAATTGCATTTAAAGTTTAACATCAAGGAGTAACTGTAGCTTGATAGTAATTAAAAACCTAAAAGTAGTGATAGTTGTTTTATCCAGGTAATTTTCAGAATTCTGATGAGAATTTGTGAACAGTACTGTTCGACTATACCAGGGGCAAGACAAATATCACATATTCCAATGGAAGATGGTCAGGTGGAATCATGAATTGATTAAAATTTATCAATACACACCATTGGATAGTACTTAAATAGTCTGAAAGCTAAGGATTCGCTGAAGCACTTGATGGTCTTAAGCTAGATTTGTCATGGATTCATGGATGGGCGATGTTGAGTAGTCCCATGATAGGGTAGCACAAGTGTCCAGTACTTACTTGCTTTGCCAGTCCTCGAAGTTGGGCGTCTACTAAATCTTTCTACCGGTTTAGCAACACTGTTGTAAACCTTCCTAAGGACTGATAGTGGTGTGACACCTCTGTAGTTGTCACATTTGCTCAGATCTTCACTCTTTGGTATGTTGATGGGTTGTCTTTTTTTCCAGTCCGTCTGTGGCACTTGTTCTTCCTCCCAAATATTCTTGAGTAGAACGTGGGACAATTTGCGATTGTTTCTCTGTGTGACTTCAGTGCTTCGATTGGTATGTTGTCAGGTCCTTCTGCTCTCCCACTGTTGATTTGTCTGATGGTCACAATTGATGTGTTTGATTGTTGGTGGAGTGACATGTATAGGAAGGTCTATGTTTGGTGCTTTGATGTTCAGTGGATTCAATGGAGCTGGCCTGTTCAAGAGTTGCTCAAAGTGTTCTACCCATCTGTTCCTCTGTTTTCGAATCTCAGTGACTGACTTGCCTTCTTTGTATGTATGTATGCATCGTGATATACTATTCTAAAGAAAACGTGTTCGTCTTTCTGTAAACCGCATTGTTTATTTCAAACTCAAATTTTATCCGATTTTAGATAATAGGTTAGAAAACTAAACGGGAAGCTTTCACTTACATAATACATCAATCAACAACTTTTGATTAGTTTCTCCGATTACATTAGAAGCTATACATTTGTATATTTTTGGCCCATTTCTGCTCACATAATGTATATCAAGTAAAGAGTTATCTGAAGTTAGGAAAGAAAAAAATATTATTCTAGCTGTTTAACTATACTGAACATGTTTGAAATGAATGTTTGATTCCAAAATAATGGGTTCTTAATATTGATCATAACATTTCTTTATAAAAAAAAGGTTAACTAAGTTCTACTACTGAAAAATACTTACTGATCAGCAATAATGAAATATGAATTTTTGAAGTTCCGTAAACTTGGATCAACATTGACTAATAACTTAATTCATATGTTCCTTTGTATACAGTAAAATAGAAATAACCAGAATTCACTGTATGAAGATTACAGTATACCAATAAATTAAAATCGGGTTAAATTTTTAATCACTTTATTTATTCTAAGTGAATTGATTTACTACAATCTTCACTAGGATTCTTCTAAACGAAGTTTTTTATAGGTATCCTTAAAATGATAATAAACATAGACAATAAATGGTAATTTTTTGAACATTTCACAGTAAGATATCAGAAGTTATTATATGTGTCTTATCATAGTATGGTGTATGTTAGTTATGTCGAAAAATATAAGTAGTATGTAACATCAATCGGAAGTGGAATATCTGGCATCAGAAGGCTAAGAAGATCGAGTTGAAGAGAAAAGAAGGGAAAAAAGAAAGGAACTTTGAACTGGAAGAATCATACAGAATGTGAACAACAAATGATGGGAGATTTGCAAATGAAGTATTTAATGTATGATTCTCATATCTTATGAATACATTCATATGTTTAATTACTTATAAACAGATGTAAAGTAGTAAAACATTTCAGATAGAAACTTGGGAGAATTTTCGATTATCTTTTGCTACATCACTTTTTCATTTAGAATATTTATTATTGAACTGATGAACCTTCATTAGTTAAAAGAGGTAAATGGCATTTTTACTATGTTCTGAAATAACATCTAACAGATCAGAAAGATGAAAACAAACGTTGTAAAAATACGAGATCATTCTAAGTCAAAGTATGATTGTATACATCTATTATTTACAATTACTTATAAATGTTTAATTATAACTGACAAGAGACTTAGCGATGCACATGGAATATTTGTCAGTCAGTAACAACGTAGAACTTCGTACGTACGTACATCAGTTCGAGTTGCCACACCACATTAGCACAGAAATGCGGTTGTTGACTCAAATTCCGTAGTGGTAGAGGTAGTAAGAGTATAAGCAGTAATCAGAAACATTAGGGCTTGGAGATTTTATATTTTTTTCTAAGAAATTTATGATTAAATTGTTTAAGAAACATCAACTAATCGCCAGTAATCTTAATATTTTCAAAAACATTCTCGTTATAGGATTTCATAGTTTTGGAAAATTGATTATTCTCACAGAAACAAAGTGAAATCAAGTTATATTTCTATATGGATACGGATATGAACCATTACGTATGGATTGTTCTCAACATACAATAAGTTTTGCTTATAGCCAAATGACCAAAGACCATCATTCAAGTTTGATATTGCTTCAGAATCACAATACAAATTCTCTTAGTTTTTCTGATATTTAAAGTTGATCTCATTGGTATACCAGTCACGTTTTAAAAAAAATTTGCTGCAAGTGAGCAAACAGTCTCTTAATGTTCAAGGCTGATGAAAATCAAATAATGTAGTGTGGTAGCCTTACACTTACACATGCTTGCACATATTCAAATTAGTTAGGTCCTTGAAATAATCTACATGACAGACAGTGCTATTTTAGTCCGTAATAATTCACCAGTATTTTTGTGTATCTCGTTATGTCTGTGAGAGTGTGTATGATAAAATGCATTTAACAACCTACTGATATATTTCTCCTATCAGGTTAACTAATAGTTGCTTAAGCTCTTAATGACTTATTTACATATACGGAAATACTTACTTGCCAAGTTGTATTCATTCTTTCATTTATCTCTCTCATTCCTAAACTTGTTAGTTGTACAGTTTCAGGTATTTGCTGCATTAAAGCGTTCCGGCTACTGTGTTTTGCTTTTCGAAAACTATGTACTCTTGTGACTTATAATTGACTGATATATGAATTATATGGAAAATCACAAAGATGTTCTACACAAGTGAAAATTGTTTTCGTCACTAAGTGACATCAGATGGATAAAACACCATAAAGCATCGAGAGTATAGATCAGTAATTTTGTCGTAGATATAAATTCCTCAGAATCGCACAGCAGTTATTCGTCAGGGAATGAAACTAAGAATTTCTGATGGTAAACCCGTCACCTATAGATCTCTGAGTTGGATTCTGATGGTTCATCTTTTTAAAAATTAATTAGTTCACGACATTAACGAGAACGGTATCTAGCTTCACTAATGATTAGTACCTTATTATTAACAATGGTTAAATATATCTCACTTTTTAAACATTTCTCGTTCTTACTACGCTAAGAAAAATATTTAAAACAATAACGTTTGAATAACGGAATAGAAAATTTTTACTTAATTTATTATTTATAATAGGAGAATTGTTTCTCATTACTTGAAACCACATTTTGATTCTCATCGACCCAATGAATTCGAGCTGCAGGATTTGCTTTAATCCTACATACTTGTTTAAATGAAGTAGTTTCTAGTACACGTATTGGATTAGATTCAAAAGATATATGATTGGCACATCTAAAATAAAATGAATGAGAAACGAAAATTACAGAAGTGAATGTAAAACAAGAATGTGACTAAGATTCTGTTGATAAAAGTGTCGTAACTAGAATGTTCCAACAGACTGATGTAGCTTGTGTATATAAAGTAAGAATAAACACGGTTATACAACCAAGTGATCAGGGACAAAATATAAATGCTACAATTTCCAAACCAAGAGTAAAAATTGTACAAATTATCTAGTTAACTAGTTCATGACTATATGTGTTTATTAAAACATTTCATTGTCAAAAAGGATACATCATCAACCAATCACAATATATATATACACGGTGTATTGTACATTACAGTCGCCGGAATTAAAAGCTTCCTTGTAAACATTCAAATAAAAATTACATGAGAAGAATTCGTGCATTTTTAAATTTACTTTGGAAATGTTAAGTTTTTAAAACAAAGAGCTATACACTTGAGGTTTATCTGCAGTTTCAACGTCTTTCACTATCGATACAACTAGAAAACTAGTTAGTAATCTGTAATTGACAATAGTAGACGAGTAAAATTGAATGATTTCTTGGTGAAATTGGTAACATAAACAAATACTACTTAAAATTGGTAGAAATCAGGTTAATTTAGGATAGTGATTTAAGTAATAAAAAATCTGATCAATCACAGATAATTTCTCTCAGTGAATATAATAATAGAATTATTGACTAGCTGTGAAGTGAAATGTAAGCGATGAATAAACTAAACTAGGTATTATATATTTAAATTCCTGTTAGGGATAGAATTATATTGATAGAAAGCATACAGTGTCATACATAGATCTTGAGGAATTCCTGTTTTAATCATCAAAAATGTCACCAACTGAAAATCATACAGATTATTTCTTAAGATTTCACTATTGAAATATTAATTTATAGTTATTAGCATTTTCTACTGATAAGCAATTTCAATGTTATAATAGATCTGTAATCAGTAGTTAATCACTAACACGCGTTTATTGTTTATACTACTTATCGATTAGTAGTACATTTCTATTCGTTATTTATTACATTGCATACATGTTAAGATACTAAATAGACGGTAAATGTCTACTACTTCCTAAATAAAATAAGAAAATTTCACATTAGCTTAAGTAAACTAGACGAAGAGGTATTCAGTTTTCATGATAATTATACCAAGTTGGATTCGACGAAACATTGTTATTATTATTATTACTGTTAAGTGACTTGTTGGTCCAGGTTACAAGCAAATGAGGTAAACATATTCAGTAAATAAGATAAATGACAACAAACATTACTGACGGAATTGATAAACAAAAATGTTGTTTTCTCATTTTCAGGACAAATTAATTAACTATTTTCATCAGTATTCATTAATATAAAAAATTATATTTAAAATATTATTTTTAGAAAAAGAAAATACAAAAAAAACACACACACACACCCACAACTAATTCTGGCTCAAATTTCTAATCAGTCTGTTTATATTATCTTGTCAAAATATTTGTCCTATTTACCTTGTAAAATAAATGTCTATACAATTGTTGATATGCGATAATTGATAGTGTAATTATCTTCATTTATGGGTCATTTTATTGTGTTAAGTTCAATATTATCATAAACATAATAATAATAATAATAATAATAATAATAATAATTAAATTTTGACATGAAATAAGCCGAATACATTCTACTCATATTATACTGATAGATTAACTGAGACAATGTTCTATACAGAATTGTATTCATTTAATAGACTGATGATGATATTGATAAGCAAAGATGGATAATGGCTAGCAATGAAATTCAAGACTCGCGTTTTGTTCTAATTGGGGCTCATCAGCTGTATGTACCTGAATCTCAGAGTTGATGTTCACTCTGGGACTCGAACCTAGTGTCTTTCTCTTGAAACATCATCACGTTATTCATTTAGCTATTGAGTCCTGATAGCTTGTGAATAATATCGTACAACGTTTGGAATATTAAAGTGACTCGTTATTAACAATAGATGACAAGAGTCCTGTATTACAAAAAGAATGAAGTTGAATATGCTCAGAGCTGGATTTATATCTAGTAGTTTAAAAACAGTACATTCTAAGAGAAATCTATAGGTCATAAATTTGATTCTCTATGAACTGCACACAAATAAGAAGTTATAAACTAGAAAAGAACAATTGTTCAGGTCTCCACAATTCCTAGTGAATTAATTGGTGAAATATTAGTTTCCTATCAGAATTAACTTCAAAATATCATTAGCATTAAATAATAATAATAATCAATGTACTGACAGTTCTGAGTGAAAGTTCTATTTTGTGTATTGACATTCACCAATTAAACATTTTTTGATAACCTCGAAAAATCTGATGTTTTCTGCAATATTCTGTTTATTCTGACTATAAATTCAGTTGTGATTCCATATAGTCAATGACATCAAGTAGTTAGAAGCTTTTGAAATATTATTCTCAGGACATATTTTAAAGCAAACTATACTTATAACCTTCTAATACAGAATATACATTAAAACTAGAAAATTAACTAATATTTATATATAAAACTTTAAATACCGATTAATGATTGTGATGTGTGTAACGCATGAACATCTAATAATTAATAATACACTGAAACCTATCAGATAAATTATTGTAATAATTTTAAGAGAAAACTGATCTATTTCAATACTATTTGTAACGATCAAATTGTAGACAACCGTTTATATTCATGAAACTTTGAATTGGATCGTTTGATAAGACACCTAATCAGTTCATCTGATCAATTTTTATAGATCAAAAGTTATGAAGATTATCAGTCAGTCAGCTGCAACGTAAGACCAGAAATATATATATATATATATATATATATATATATATATATATATATATATATATATATATATATATATATATATATATATATATATATACCGGTACAAGTTGCAACACCCTCATTAGCACAACAACATCAACACCAAATTCATAGAAGTAGTTACTTCAGTGGTAGTAATATACAAATGGAAGATTATGTATAAGGACTAGTTAGAAAGAATGATATAAAGCAATTTTAATATCATAGATTAAGGGAAGATGTGGTGGTCGGTATCCGATATAATCCTTAACTTCGTATACAATTCGTCTTGCTAACCGTTCTGTATAACGCCCCAACGGTATAATAATCAGAAGGCAAATACGAAGTGTTGATTACGTTTATTGCGAGACCACACACATATATCCAAATGTACAAATGTGTTAAATAAGCACAGAAGAGTTGTGCCGAAAGGCAAGCAAGCAAGCGAGGGCCAGAGCAAGAGCGTGGTGAGAGCGTGTGAGCGAATGAGTAAGTGAGTGAGTGTTCATTATGAATAACATGGACATATATATATACCATGTGAAATGAATGGGTAATCGAATCGAATAAGCGGTTAGTAGTAAGACTAGCAGAGTGAATAAATGCGTAGGCAGTAATCAATATTCAAGCATGCGTATTTCATGCGAGCACAAAATAATAAGGGTACAATAAATTGTTATAGTACGGATGGCTTTGTCCGCTAAATAAGTTAGCGAAAGGGCTTAACTGAGTTAAATGAGAATAAACCCATTTGCACGTGAGTCGCTATAAAGACAAAGAGTGCATACACAGACGCCATTGTGCTCGATTCTGAGCCATGCCACACAGTCTTCAGCAATTAGTTACGATAGTCACGTAGACGCCAAACAAGTAGTCTGCATCTTCCAACATGGCTCAGACTAGAAGTTAGTGACTTTAATGACTGATGCCAAAGTTTGGCTTGGCCGTCCCTAACTTTCTTCCAATTATCCACAACATTAGTCAGCATTTTGCATCCTACATTGTAGAATCAAATGAATTTGCATTCATTTGATAAGCTTTGATTAATTGATATACTCACTAGATTTTTCCATACAACCAATAAATTTAAAATGTAATTCATGAAATGTTTGTCACATTTATAGATATCTATGAAAATAAGATGATGGTTGGAAGTAGTCAACAGGAAACTCTGAACCTAGGTTAATTGGCACTCGTCAGCAACGTGTACCTGTAATGCTGAAGGAACTGATGTTCTCTGACAGGACTCGATATTGTGACACACGGTTTCACAGTCAGAGACGTCACCACTGAGCTATCCGAGCCGCGAATTACCTCCTGTAGGATTCAAACGTATTTACAATTGACTGATCACTAGGTGGTGATCAATGTCACGTATGTCAGGTCCTTCTAAGTGCAGATCGAATCCTATCGACCAATTTTCAGTTAGTAAAACGACAGTATGTATATAAAACAAAAACAACAATTAGACAGAATATCTATTCTCATAGTGTTTCACCACTTAAATACAAAATAGCATCTCATGGTAGGTCTAATTTATCATACTTAAATTTGTTCTCATGAAACTTGTGAAGAAATCCTATACATTACATGCAAATCAATTAGTGGAAGTGAGTTTTCAATGTCATTTATTAATTGTTGATATTTTTGTCATTAATTCACATTAATTCTTTCATTTCTGTTGATCAGTTTCCATAATTTATAAATTAAATATTACTTTTCTTTATCAATTATCCCCTCATTTTGTTTCTCTTACATACAGACATATACAGAATTGATTAGGAATCGAAATTTCAGATAACGTCTCATATTGATATATCAATCCATAATGTAAGTTTAACTTATCTATAGATATCTCAGATATCCACAGTTACTATGTTCGTTTAAAGATGCATTAAATCTAATGATAGAGTTATATATATATATATATATATATATATATATATATATATATATATATATATATATAATTTTTATTCAAACATGTAGAATTAATTAAGTGCAGCTTTATATTTATGGTTATACAATATACTCCTGTGGGCCAGGGTAATTATTCATTGATTTTCAGGAGAACCAGAGACCATCCAGACTTTCAAGTGACAACCTAAACAGTACAGCTCAATCCCCGTTCGCAGAAGAAACAGACACCGTTTAGGCTTTAACGCTACAATCTGAATAGTACAGTAAATTATAGTACAGCATATATATATATATATATATATCCATCGTGGATGCGCACTGCTGAGGAGCCCCACAACAGAACGAAACGGACGTCCAGTGCTTCCAGGTTTTCCATGGTGGTCTAGCTTTAACTGACTCATGATTTTAACCATTGAAATTACTATAATATCCGAAAAACCCATCTTACAATTGTATTGATCATAACAAATCATTGTATTATGATAATATCAGACATAGCAATAAATTCAATGATTTGGTTTACGACAAAACAATTAGGTGGATATAAATTGTTGAATATCATATTTTCATGTATAAAGCATACAGTTTTGACAATATTTACATTTCATTTGGTAGTTGTTTTTTTTTTCGTTTTTTTACTAATCATACGTTTACTAGCATAAATTGTATTCAGATATGTTGTATTCTATGAAGTATGTAGTAAATTATACTCAAAAAAAGACAGAAAACTATGTTTAAGCCAAGTGAATCAAATCAATTCAATAATAATAAACTAGGTCCCATATAAATTTGATCCAAAAATGTTTCTTTGCAAGTATACCCATTCATGAACATGATGAAAAAGATCAATCCAAACTAATACCGGTTAAATAAATAAGTACAATTTTGATAATGATTTTCTAATGTGATAAATTCTCAGTATTGTAATTTTTAGTGAGTAACCTTTAAATTCAGGTATAACACTTTGTTGCTAAACAATTAGAATAAAAATAGGCACAAACTTTCGATCAGTGTTTCATTAAAGCCACAAGTATTTATCTATTATGATAAACATGGGTTTTGTGTGGGAAAAAAAGCATTAAAACAATTAGTGTTTTAGTCAATAATTTGTTTTAAATTATCCAAGATTTTCACCCTAAATCAAAATGATCAACTTGTCTAACAAGAGTATGATCTTATTACAAGGTAAAAGATAAGACTGATAGTTTTTAACAAATTACTTAGTATATACATTACACAACTATCTGAATATATGTTGTCCATAATCAATCGATATATACATTAGGGGGGAACTATGGTATCTATGTATTAAAATACAAAAAAAATATTATAAACATGTTTTGTTTCTAGGACTTTGTTCTGATTCGATGATTATCTTTAATTTGAATCGAATCAAATGAGTTTGTTATCTTGACATTACTCGTATTAAAAAACATATGTTGCTGACTCATAAACCCAGTCTATAATCGATCACTTGAGTTAAAACGATGCTTAAATATTCTCAAAAATATTGTTGACATAGTAAACGCAGTGGATAATATGTACAAAGTTTCTTCTATGTAACTGAGAACATTATCTTCAAGCACACAATATTGTTAGTAGTTTGATCCTCATTCAATTTTAATATGTAATTATAAATATACATGAAAAGATATAAGAGTATTTTGGTGAAGTTTTGTTCTCTGAGCCGGATGTTTTGGTCGTGTTTTATTTTTTTTCCACTTTGTTCAGTTATTCTCCATCCCAAAGGGCAGTTAATTGGAGGTCTGTATCTTACACTTGTTGGTAGAACATGCTGGCGAAGACACTCGTGGAGAAAATACAGTTGTTCTCGAGTGGAAGTCTGCCTTTTGTCGAAATTCTCCTATTTTCGTACAACGAGAAGCGTAGTCCGGTCATATGATTTTGAGGTGGTGGAGATTTGTAGCTCAGATTGATGATTTTGATGCAGCTTTGTTCTCTGAGCTGGATGTTTCGAACCATTTGTGAAACAATTGTAATTAGTATATAGATCATACCATTTGATGTTATTATTAAAAAGTAAAAACTAAGAATATCAAATCAGGTGTACTGATAACTACAAGAATATTGAGAACAAGATAATATGAATAGGTATTCAAACATGGAATACAAATCACGTAAATATTGTGGTAGCAATATAGATGAGGTAAAGAAGAATAAACAGAAAGGAAGGAACGAGTTATTAGTTCCTACATTTTGTAGGAAAGTATAGGGATATTCCGAACTTTTTTCGAGTACGAAGATTACGGTCGTTCGCCCGAATCTATATAGCCTCAACTTGATTTAAGAGATAAGGTTAAAAGCCATTAGAAAAACTGTATGGTGTACTTTAAATAATTCAGAATACTTTTAGTTTTGTCAAATTAACAAAAGATATGTAGTGATCTTATTTGATTCCTTCGAAAATATCCCAAGGAAATACTTTTCGACTAGTGGATTAAACTGACTGGTTATGCGCCTCATATTATCTTTTGACATTTGAGCAGCTACACTAAAAAAAAATCAGATAATTCATCCCTTGTTCAATAAATGATACCATTTTGTTTTTATATCTTTCTCTAACTCCAAGTAAATTATTGATGATTTTAAGGATTATAAACATATGATCTATATTATCAATATTGGATGATATAGATTAATCATCTCATATTACAATATAAAGTCACTAAGATTAATTAGCTCAGTTACATTTATTTATTGGTTTTGTAGGCATAAACATTTACATTACATAAAGGTATTCATTGTGAAATGAATGCTCTAAATGTTGTGTATTATGATGTCATATTTATGGACTGACTAAACTAATCAGTGTTCTCTGAATTTCAATTATTTTTGAGTTAATATTATATTATGATGGGAAACATAAACAAGGAGTACAAATGTCCCTCAAAAAGAAAACATCTTTATGAATACAACACTGATAATGTTATGTATATTTAATGCATGATATAATCAACACTAAGAATTTCTGTTTTCTAAATGTTTAAGGTAAAGTATAGTTTACTCAAATTGTGTAATTTGAACTGACTGGTTCAATCATCAAATTTCTCTTATCTTTCATGACAAAATCATGAAATCAATTGGAAAAATAAAGCTCCAGTAGTTTTATTTAAATCTAATGGAGTTCTTGACAATAATCGAAGATTAAATTTACTTGATATTGTTTATTTGAATCTTCCCATTGATGTTTAGGACTGCAATTGATCAGTCTCTTATTGGTATGCGTGCATACTGTGCGTATTGCCTTTATTCACAAGCATTCTAAGCAAAGATAAACATAGTAGCTGAGTGGATAACGCGATGGCGTTTAAAGCGAACGGTACTTGGTTTGAGTCCCAGAGTGAACATTAACTCTGAGATTCAGGTACATACAGCTGACGACCCCAAATTAGGACAAAACACGAGTCATGGATTACACTGCTGGCTACTATTCATCTTTGCTTAATAATCAAACATTGTATTTCAGGCTTTCTTATTAACGATGTGATAGTAAGCTTTATTTTAACTTACTTAAAAAAGATTGATTGCAAAATAGAAAACTAGTTACCATTAGTGAAGAACTTTTAGTAACATCATGGATATGACAAAACAATAAGGTATTATTCAGTATCATATTATTTTTGTATATCGGATTTCAAAAGAAAATTTCAGTTGACTTCATTTAGTATTAAATGTGATATTAAAAACTACCCGGTGAAGTATTTAAACTTTAAGGTGTTAGAGGTTTAATATGTATTTAAAATCTAGTAGGTTTCGAAGTTTTTTAGTTCATGAGTGAATAATAAAATAGTGTCACCATTAAAAAGAAATATAACCATCTATTTGGAATATTGAATATCATGCAACATACAAATCTTCACTCCAGTATAGAGCTTTATGACGATGTACTCCTTAGACCTCCAAAGGAATAAAACACTTAACCTTTAGGGTTTTCACGAAGCGCTTAAAATTTAAACCACCAAGTTGGGGTCCAATGGTTCATATTTCTCATTCCTTGTTTACTTAGCGGTCTGAAGTTTAGGTTTCAACTGTAATGTATGGGAAACCTGAGTTCAGTTTCTTGCGGAGTTATGGATGTACAACCCTAATGAGTTTCAGACTGAAAAGACACAACTGTCTCTGAATCTATAATGTTTAGTCCTTCATATATATTTGGAAGCGTAGCCTGTGAATAAAAATAAGCAAGTACGATAGGCTTCTTAGACAATTGCTCAACTTATTATGGAAATACAAGGACTAGAAAGCTGTCTTGAGCAATCGATTAGAAGTGTAAATAACTTATTAGTACATATATACATCTGTACGTTAGATATACAAACATAAAACTTGGCAAAGTGTATTATCAGATTCATCCAACAGAGTACATTATTTGTCTTCTTACATTTAGCTCTTAGTCTTGGGAACATCTATTATCAACCAATGGTCTGTCATGTCAACTTTGCATTAATGATCGAAGTTAATTTAAAAACACTGAAAATTACATTGTATTACATTTATAAGTAATCAGTAGACTATGTTTGTATTTTCTAAATGATCGACTGGATCATGAAGACGTCAACATCTGAAGGGAAGCGCGGGATACAGTGGACATCTAGGATGCAGTTGGATGATCTAGACTTCGCAGATGATCTGGCCCTTCTATCCCAAACGCAACAACAGATGCAGGAGAAAACGACCAGTGTAGCAGCAGCCTCAACAGCAGTAGGTCTCAATATACACAAAGGGAAAAGCAAGGTTCTCCGATAAAACACAGAATGTACCATTTCAGTCACAATTGACGGAGAAGATTTGGAGGATGTAAAAACCTTTACATATTTGGGCAGCATCATTGATGAACATGGTGGATCTGATGCAGATGTGAATGAGCGGATTGGCAAAGCAAGAACAGTATATTTACAACTGAAGAACATCTGGAACTCAAAACAACTGTCTGTCAACAAACACCAAGGTCAGGATTTTCAATACAAATGTCAAAACAGTTCTACTGTATGTGGCGGAAACCTGCAGAACTACTAAAGCCATCATTCAGAAAATACACGTGTTTATTAACAGTTGTCTACGCAAAATACTTCGGATCCGTTAGTCAGACACTATTAGCAACAATCTATTGTGGGCGAGAATATACCAGATCCTAGTGGAGGAAGAAATCAGGAAGGAGCGATGGAAATATATAGGACACACTTTGAGGAAAGCACCCAACTGCGTCACAAGACAAGCTCTTACATGGAATCCTGAAGGCCAAAGGAAAAGAGGAAGACCGAAGAACACATTACGCCGGGAAATGGAAATAGACATGAGAAAAATGTACAAGAACTGGATGGAACTAGAAAAGAAGGGCCAGGACAGATTGAGTTGGAGAATGCTGGTCAGCGGCCTATGCTCCATTAGGAGTAACAGGCGTAGGTAAGTAAGTTTGTATTTTAGTCTAAATATCATTATTCTTACATGATTTCCAATCATGTTCGAATGTTTCAGATTATTTTTAAGCCATTCACTTATGTAGCTTGAAATTTATCTTATTTCTTGTATGAGTAAGTATTTATTTGATTATGTATTAAAACCATAAATTCCATCACAAATTACATTTCGATAGATTTCTTTTAAAGTTCATAAGAAAGTGAATTGTACCCATGATAGTCCATCTAATAATGTATCATTCCCTGAATGAGTGAACTTTATGGATTATGTATATAAAGAAGCAAGTAAATGATACACCCTATTCATCTGATTTCAAATAGTCTATTTGTTTTGTGATCAGACTATACATAGTTAATTAAACTTACATTCAATATTTAAGTTCACTTCTTCAGAAGATGCTAAACCCATAGAATTTGTAGCTGAACATTTTAAAAATGTTCCATCATCTTCATGAGTTAGAACATCAGATGTCTGTGTATCCACATAATTTGAAAATGGTTTCCATAATTGTTTACTATAATTTAAATTATCAAATGTAACAAGTTCCCGAATCTCGCCGTTAGAATATCGAATAAACCAGGTTACAACCGGTTTGGGATTAGCATGAGTGATAAGGCAACTGAAATAATATAATTTTCCACTAATAATAGTAAACGTCTTTTCCAAATTCTTTAAATAATTGAATATTTCAGTATCTGGTGGCATAGTATCATCGATTCTTACTATTTCCAAAGGATGCTGTGGAGGAGCTGTAAATAAAAACAAACTGTACAAATGTATTTAACAATGAAAATAAGTAGAAAAACTTGTCAGATACACGTTTACAACGTGATCGATTGAACCCTAGAAGCATGTAACTTTTATAAAAAGCTGACAAACAATTTATATTTATAGTTTTACAGAAATAAAGTCCGTTGAATCACTTTTCTAATACTGAAGTAACAAAATATTCGTTTACTCAAAGACAGGGTTATTTTAGGTACCTTTAATCTTGCTTCCCTACGACTACAGTAATGATCAGCCAAAAATATTCAGAAACTAAATTTCAGTATTTCTTGTGATTGTTCGGTTTACAGGAGTTATGAATAGGTAAGCACGTAGTCACAACGTTTTTGGTGTAAGTTAACCTGTCTAGTTGAACATAATTAATTCGAGTTAAAACAATGAGTTATTAGTGAAAAATGATTATAGTAATTGATAAACATTTCATAGTTTTGATGAAGATTTATTCTCTAAGCACCATGGGTTAATCCTGAAGATTTCATCATTTTTCTGGAAAAAATAACCAACAAAAACTTTGGGCAGAAGTTGATGATATTATAAGAAACCAGTGAAAGCTTTATATTTACACCATTCAACCTGGCGAAAAATTTCCACTAAAACCAATCACCTGATTCCAAAGCTTCTCTCCCATTTCAAAATTTTATAGGTGAGTCCATGTCATCACAAAGTATTACTGACTAAAGTCTGTTAAACTAGGAAATATGGAAAAGTGTTAATATTCCCAAGTTTAATATGCATTTGTCTTTTCGGGAAAATAAGAGGAGAACATGATTTCTTAATGAAAAGTGAAACCATTAGTTATCATTGAAAGTCCTCACCCTATGCTCTCTATTTGAGATAGGTCATCATTCAATGATTGAGTTAACTGAAACTATGTATTGATTTAGGTACACTTTGTGTTTTTTAAAACGGCTTTAATTTCTATAGTATATTTCATCCAAAATTACAGTAAAAGTAAAATTTTGCATCACTGCAGTAATTTAACTGTTTACTGATATACAATAGTTACATCATAAGTTTCGGCTGCTTTAAACAGAAAATCAGATCAATTAATTATTCTTGACTTACATTTGAACTACTGAGCCTAAATTAGAAATCTGAATCCAAATGATTTAAATGTATATTTGTACGTACCATTTTTGATGTTCGTTGATATTTTCTTAGAGTTATTTTATGTTGTACATATAAGTGAAACATTTATCAGAAGCTATTTTGCTTCGTATTTATTTGACTTCAGGTGATACTAATCACTGTTTCTTCCAACCGCAACAGCGGTTTATATGACAAAAATAGCTCATATTTCAATTAGCCCAATCAATATCAATCTATGACATCTTGTTTGGTGTTTCTAGTCTAAGATATCGACTAATTATGCTCATAAATACTTAGGCTCACTTATTTATCCACTCCATTCATTTTCATCGACTGGATCATACTCATGTGTCAATGCCCTTATAATAAAAAATATCATCTTTGAAATATGCTAGGTATATATATATATCTTTATGCTTGGTTCTAAATAGCTTTTAAAAGTATCTGAAGAATTCCAGAATTTATTGTGGTTAGGCTAGACACATTGAAACCTAGTGTAAAAGAGTTAGCCATCTTTTTATAGATGATATACTTAAGATGATATGCAATTTCTATAAGTATCGAGTTTCTTATCTTCATAAACACCAATTCTAACAATACCGTCGACCATGATATAGATCGGTTGGAAATAAAACAATCAGTGAAATTAATTTCTAATAGCGTGGAAATTCTAAACCAAAACGAAGTAATTGTCTATTGATTTTTGGTTCTCAGAAGCTCTTGATCTGTTGATAATTTGTGATAAAAGTTATTTGAAACGCTGCTTCATCCATAACTTTATTCAATTGTCACTTCTATGCATACCTATTATTATTTTTATTATTATTACATCGTTTAATAAAGAAATGACTTATATCCATGACTTTAACACAAGTAGTAATTGTAGTAGCAGTTGTTGCTGTTTGCATCATCGTCGTCGTCGTCTTCATTGTCATTTTTCAGAGTGATGACAAGTGAAAAATGACTATATTTTAATTAGTTCTATAAGCATATTGATCTAGTATTCATTGGTAATGAATAATAGTCATATAAGTAGTCAAAATTGTAGTAATTTGGGATAGAAATAATCATTTCTCCATAATTTAGTTAAATGTTATTATCCACATGATATTCATTAATTTTTTCATAAAAACAGAGAGGAAATAGAGTACAATGACTACATCAATAGAAATGTACATTATATATACATTATTATTATTGTTATTATTTTAGTGACATTAAGATAAAATCTCTCTCTTAACTCAGTTGATCAACAATTATCATGCTATATGCGAGTAACTAGATTCCATAATTGTGTGTCATTATACATAAAACTTGTTTATGTATATGTAGTGGAGTGGATTATGGACATTAGTTCCATGTGAAAAATTTTTTCAAAACAGACTGTTTAAACAAGAAACCATGGGATAACTGCTTCATTCTGCTTGAATATCTGGGCTACCTGTTCCTCCGATCTAGATATTTCATCAAGTTATCTGTTTTGTTTGTTTTAGCACATCACTATGTCTATTGTGCGCACAATCTATTCAGGCGCGTTTATGAAAAGTTTACAACCTTTCGGTATACGGGATACAAAAAGGTACAATCAGCGACATCATGGTGGCTGGCAATATGCAATGAAACGAATGAACAGTAATCAAATGTGGATTACCGAATTCCTAACATCTAACTGGTCATCATTCGAAATTTATCGTCACAATCGATTAAGGTATAAGAAAAGGAAACTTGTTGAAATACTTTATGCTGAGAATTCTATGTTGTACCAAAAATATAATGTTGAATAAAGCTTCTAATAATAATAATAATTCTAGCATAGAGCTCCTCAGACTGATGAATTACATTAGGAATCAAACCTACTATCTCCAGAAACTTCTGTGTGTTAAATTTAGACCACTAAATCGGAATCCACTGATTCAAAATTCTACCTTTAGTCAGCTAATAATAAGCGGGACCTTTACTTTATGTCAGTAATAAGTTGCTCTTAGGTCACTTTTTCCCTTTAATTAGCATACCGTTTTCTACAGTTTAACATTCTGTCACTTCCATACTCCATATTCTTAATTTGAGGCTCATATAAATCCACCTTGAGCTAGCTACTACTGAGTAGGGTTAGGGAAAGTGCTTTGATTCGGTAGTCAAATATACACATCTCTTACAGCATTTCAGGACTATCTACAATCTATTCAGCGAAAATTCAGCTGATATTCTCAAATCAATACAGCATTACAAACCATCCATTTATATGAATAAATATAAAGACTAAATTCCATGTCCCTATCTTACCTAGAATATTTAAGTATCCACGTTTATCATATGCATCTAAATTTACTAAAGTCTGACACTGAAATAATCCATTCATATCTGATTGTAAATTAGTTAATGTAAGTGTAAATAACTGCCTTCTTTGAATAAGTTCAATATCATCTGTTGCAGACAATTTATTATTTGCAATTGGGTTATTAAAAGGTGATTGATTGAATTTATTAAATACACTGTACTGATTAACGAATTCACATTTGTTAGGTGGTTCCGGACATCTAGCTAAATCATCATCCTTGTGAATAAAACTCCAAATATTTGGTGCCGGATCTTTGTGTGAATGTCGAAATCTCCATATTACATAGATACTATCAGTTTGTTTTGGTTCAACAGGAACCTGACATCTTAAATATAGGGTTGAATTAATTGGTATGCTTAGATTGTTTGGCGGATCGTACAATTCAAGTTGTAAAACTGGATTGGGATTCATTTTATAAGCTGTAAAAGATGAACAAAACATATATCTGTTAAATAACTATGAACTGAGACCACGAATTTAAAAAAAATCTTATTCTACCCATGGTAAATTAACCCAGTCAGTCACACAGACTTCAAATTGAATGCTTGTTTAGCTATTCATAATGTTTTCATTCAACAAACTTATATCAAATGTGTTTTATGGTTCTATTATTTATGAATATGATAATACCAGGAATAATGATTTTTAAACGATTCATTTGTTGAGTTAATGAATTTAACAATGAAGAACTTAGAACAATTAGAATAGATACGAATTAGTTACTTTTTCAATTTTATTGATTTAATGGGTATCTATTACTGATTTGTATAAGTAATGTTGAATTAGTCATTTTGTTCACAAGAAGTCTTTCATGTTTGTTATGTCATTAGCTTATACGATTATCGCGAATACAATTGCCAGATGTGAATACACTGACGTATACGACCAAACTAATGACTCGTACACCAGTACGGGCAGCCTAGAGTCCCGATGGATCCTATTTCCGCCTTGTACTGCCTGTTAAGTTCAGAATACCAATCTCAGCCTCCATGATACGAATCGTATATTTCAAACATACTTGGTTTATATACAAACAAATCAGACCACATCACACCATAAAATAAAAGATAAAATCTGTACGAAATTAAGCCGAAAAGTGGCTATGGTTGTGAGGAAGTATTATCAATAGATTGGGAATATCTCATGAACAGTAAATCGGATGATAATAGTCCATAAGTGAAATAAAAGTTTATAACGAAAGAAATGTGAATATGCATATAATATAGACATTTAATAGCCATACAATAAGAATATACATATAATATTAGTCCATAAGTAATTTCTAACGGTTTACCATTCATTTATTATCATTCAGATATGACTATGTTTATGTTTTTTAATTACATCAATAAGTTTTTAAAAAAAGAATCATTCACTTGGTATTGTTTTGGTTTGTATCTTCCCATTGAGGTTTAAGACTGCAATTGATTAGTTTTTTATTGGCATATGTGCATACTGTGCGTATGCCTCGATATTGCTTTGATTCATAGGACTCAGTAGCTGAGTGGATAACGCGATGGCGTGTGAAGCGAAAGGTACTGAGTTCGAGTCCCAGAGTGAACATCAACTCAGATGCAGGTACATCCAGCTGACGAGTCCCAAATAGGACGAAACGCGGGTCCTGAATTCCACTGCTAGCCACTATCCATCATTGCTTACAAAAAGAATCATTTCCAAAAATTTGGATTTCAGATAGAAAAAAATAAATTGTCTAATTATCACGTTGTTATTTCCCGATACAAGTTAAACAAACAAGATAGTTTTCTCTATACATTAAAAAAATAGAAATGGATTATTTAAGCGTAGACTTTAAACCATTCACATTGATAGTAACCATATTAAAATATATAACTTTACTGAAATCTCTCGGTTTTATTTTAATTTCTCGTTATATTGTTAGTTGGGTGACCGGAGTATTCTAAGTTTGACGATAGATTTAATTAAAGGTGGTTACTGGCACAGATATGTTATTAAGGAACAATTAATATTAGATTCCTTTCTAGTCTACAATGATTATTCAACAATTATATTTAGTTGTTGACTAATTAACTAACAGGTGTTATCATTACCTTGCTGACTAGTATTTTACAATACTGCATTACAGATATAAGTAATATATATATCTAAATAAAAAATCAGTCTTTATCATGTATTTTTTTTAGGTTTTTCTATTTTTCATTGAATCAACTTATACTGTACATGTAGGTTTGTATCTAATTACATGGTATTTGTATAGTTGATTAAAGCTAAAACAGGGAATAAGTATTTGAAAGCAAAGGTATTTCGATAGGAATATAATAAAAAGATTTTTTAATCAAAATTATTCATTAAAATTGATAATGGACTGATAAGAATAATATTGTATGTCAGAGATAAATAAAATGATAAAACCATACAATTTTATGTTTATTATACGCATACCTACCTTCCCCTGCAAATAAACAATAATTTATTAAAGAGGAAGAATGTATTTGTAAAATCTCAGCGAATGAATTTTGGAGTAAATCCAACGTTTCTCCTGGCAATCTGATCCAAGCTTTTTCAAGGATTTACTTCAAATTCTTTCGCTGAGATTTTACAAATACATTCTTCTTCTTTAATGTCTCACATTAATCCGGAGCCCAAAAAATTGTGAAGCTATTCGATCAAATTTAGACGAAAGTTCTTATTTATTAAACAATAATTCAGTTTAAGTTTCATCTTTTGTATGGAATGAAGTAATAACTTTTTGTTAAGTTTGGTACGATTTAATAATCTGTACTTCAGTTTAAGGTTTGTTCGTCGTCAAAAATATAAAACGTTAACAATATTAATGTATTTAACACTATGTCAGCATTCAAACTTAGTGTGTTTTCAGAAGAATGACAATGGTTTAGAGAAGAAAATCTTATTTTGGACGATTTCATTCACATAAGCTGTATAGATATATTTGTAGTCAATGTATTTATTAGAAATAGTGGTCTATAGTAGAATAGAATAGCGTTGTATAATTTAAAAAATTTAAAGTGTTGTCATGTCATGTATTGTATACGAAAGTCAGATATCAAAATGAGTTTGTTATAACTGGCTAGTAAGAAATTGTTAAGGTGAGGATAATTGTCCACTTGATAGCTGTTAAGAATGGAATAATTCAAAGTTGTAATCATCGCTAATTAATACTTGTGGAAATAAGAAGTAGGAGAAATTTTTTAAAAAAATGGTGGGTTATGGAGGATAGAAATAGAGGTTAAGACCATGGAAGAATGAAGGACTGAATATACTTTTTATGCACTGAAAGGTTAGGCTTGAACTGGTGGATGACCGAAATCTATGCAGTACATAAATTTTTCATTTAGATTCCTCATGATCAAACTCTTCTTATAGTATGTATGATTTTGAACGAGGCTTCTGGTATTTAATATCGAGCTCAATGACATTTACTAATAAGATTAGAATGAATAAACGATTTAGTCAGTGGACAGTTACCAATGCTGTTTCAGTCATTAAAACTTAATAAAGTTCATTCATCATTATGACTTGTGTAGGAAGTAAGACAAATAATTCAGTATTATGACAAACACTCAGAAATACAGGATATTTTTATAATTCAACTGAAAGCTGTCCAGTTATTTAAATGAACCATTTTTAGATGGAACCTTAAAGTGTAACATTCCAATTAAATATATACGAAGTTATAAGGATAACAACTGTGAAACTGTAATCACCTAGAATCCGGTTTTCATTAATTATATTCATCATAAATAGTGTACACTAAACATTTATATCAGCTAGACAAAAATCTTATTATCAGAAGGGGGACTGGTTGAAGTAAGACATTAACAGCGTTGGTCTAGAGATTAAGCGTTGTACTTGATTCATTTTTGTAGTCAACATTTTTAAAACGTTTTCTTTTTGATAGAGTTTTGTTCTTTGAGCTGGATGGTTTGGTTGACATTAGTGATGTCGTTCAGAAGAACTATGAAAGCTCCACGACCAAACCATCCAGCTCAAGGAACAAAACTCCATCAAAATCATCCACCTGAACTATAAATCTTCACTATCTTAAAACTTTCTCTTCTTTCTATGCTTCTACATAAATATTATATCCTTATCTTCATTCTTTAGTAACTATTGTTTAATATTCAATTTCTTATTAAAAAAATTGTCAATTCATTTACTAGAAACTACGTACTTTGTTACTTTATTAATTATTCGTAGTTTTAAACATACTTTGAATGACGAATATGTAATATCCGTTTAAAAATTCATGCGTAGTTTATTTATTGTCTTCTGAGGTTAAGATTCACAAGAATATCTGTTATTTTAAACAATTAAAGAATCAACAAACTGGTACAGAAAACGCTTTCCGTAATTCCAAGGATTTAGTTTTTGACAATATGATAAATTGTGTTATATTAAGTGTAATTTAAGTTCAGTTATGGAACTAGTGACAAACATGCCGTCACCTTTAGGTTACCATGATGAGTAATGTTTAGATATACAATTAGAAAGAGCTCGCTTCATGTAATCAATACAACATGATTCACATGAGAAGAAAACTGATGGATGTGCACTGAAGTGTCTCAAAACAGTAGTTTATTCTTGAGACACTTTCAGATTGTGTATATACTCGTGAATACAAGCCTTAATTCAAATGAGTAGAATATCATTTTCAATAGTTTGAACGATCAGTTTTTCAAGATCTCTGCAGTCTTATCCACTTTGAATTCAGAGTTCGTAAACAGGATCACCTTTAGTACAGTAGGAGCTCTTTCCTTTAAAGGTATAAATTTTAATAACCAAATAACAAATAGACATTAGTTAGGTTTTCTTTTATGACACAATATTTACTATTAAAAAAAATTAAATCAATTTGAGTAGCTGAACATTCAGAGGAAATCAAATTATCAAAACTATATCTCAATCTTTGCAAAATCAGTGTGGCGTTTAATTAAGGATAAATTTAAGAACAGGATACTTTAGTTTTTCATCATAGCTTTACTTAATTGTCTTTAAATAATATGGATCATTGTGGGTTTCAGGATTTAAATATTCTGGAATAAGTTAAAATAACTCTTTCAATATTTTCGATTATCAAAAAATCAAGATAAGATAAATTCTTTGAAATAAACACCAGTAAAGTCAATTTGTGATTTAAAAAAATTTTTGTGTTTCCATGAAGTAATAATACCTTCAATGAAATATGTTATTTCATGAGAACATTTATCAGATAGTTATAAGTATTCGGATATATACAATAGATTTATGTTTTCTGGTACAACATTCCACAATTAATTACTTACTTACGCCAGTTACCCCTCGTGAAGGAGCATAGGCAGCTCACCAGCATTCTCCATCCAACCCTGTCCTGTGCAATCCTTTCTATCTCTTTCCAGTTCTTATTCATCCTTTTCATGTCTGCTTACAACTCTCGGTGCAC